CCCCCCCCCCCCCTTCCCCCCCACTACAGAAAGGATGTGGACAAATTGGAGAGCAGAGGGCAACAAAAATGATGAGGGGACTGGGGCACATGAGGAGAGGCTGAGGCAACTGGGCTTATTTAGTCTAGAGAAGACTGAGGGGGGACTTATAGCAGCCTTCAACTACCTGAAGCGGGGCTCAAAAGAAGATGAAGCTGACTTGTTCTCAGTGGTAGCACATTACAGAACGAGGAGCAACAGTCTTAAATTGCAGCAAGGGAAGTTTAGGTTAGATAGTAGGAAGAATTTTCTCACTAAGAGGTAGTAAAACATTGGAACAGGTTATTCAGAGAGGTGGTGGAAGCTCCATCCTTGGAGGTTTTCAAAACCCAGCTAGACAAAGCTTTGACTGCAATGTTAATGTTAATACATGGGTTAGGGCTTCCTAACATGATCCATCTTGTTAAAGGTGCAATAAACTGAGTGACATAGTTGCAAAAAAGGAATTTTAACAGATACTGTTAACTTTTTCTTCAACAGACAAACATGGGTAAACAATCCAGAAAAATGTTAGGAACACAAGCCATTCTCTGACATCCTAACATGTCAGTAGCACATAGTGATATTCATCTATGTGTAGAATATATACACCACTTAAGTCCCATATACGTTCTTCTAAAAAGGACAATTTTAGCATATCCCACATAGACAGAAAAGAATTCTGAAATAATACAAGATGTAGCTGGGTGTATATTTTCTAGACGTCTTTGTGAAATGGTTCTTTCCTTTTGTAAAAGTGTCAAAGCTTTTATCTTCAAACATTAAAAAAGACAATAATTTTAATTTAACTGAAATATTACATTGATATTACTCTCCCCTTTGATAGGTTAGTTCTCTGAAAACTGTGATAATGGTACTGTTATGCTACATTCTGCCTACATTTGTCTTGTATACCACTGTCTTGCCATTGGCACAATAAAACTAATCTCTAAAAAATGTTAGTGTGAATAGATTGACTTTGACCTTCTGAGTATCTTGTCAACAAAATAAAAATGATAAATATACTTCATAGTGTCATTTTTGAAATATTAAAGCCAGGTTATAATCTGAAAAGTGACATTTGAGAAATGACATTGTGGGGTTGAATCCTTAGTTTCTCAGTGACTCCATATACAGTATTTTCAGTTTACAAAGCAAAAGATGATTTTGCCAATAGTCAGTCCTGCATGTAAAAGATCTGGAATAAAATTCCTGCTATGTTCTGTCTGCCTCTAACATCAGCATGGATAATTAAAGATTACTCCAGTGGCAAAAAATGATAGTTCTGATGATGATGCAAGAAGTAGGATATCCATAGCTATGCTGTTTCTAGCGTGATAATATAGTAAAATTGGACTTTTTTCGGTATACTCCAGGGGTGTCAACTCATCTGACCTTGATGAGTGTTGCCGTGCCAGTCTGCAGGCCAGACCAAATGACCCCCCACTCCCATACAGCATCCCCACATACACAATAATTTCATTTCACTTCTGCCTGTCCCAACCCCACTGTCCCTGCAGCTCATTCCCCGGTTACCTCTTACCCAGTTTCTAAGGCACAGGCTGCTATCCCCAGGCAGGGCACTGGAGAAGCTGAGGAGCAACACATAGCAGGGTGCTGCATTGCTCCCAAAATACTTGTACCCCCCAACATACTCCAGAGCCAGAGCCCAGCACAGTGAATGCTGAGCTTGGGAGCTGCCACTGCAACTTGGCTGGGAGCATGGATGTGCAACAAACATCCAAGTGAGCCCCCACCTCATTTCCCCCTTCACACACACACATGCACTGCTCCCACCACACATGCTGAGGCCACAAAGCCATGCACAGGGTCTCAGCTGCAGATGCCTGCCCTAAACTGCAGTCCTAGTCCACACACCTTCCCTGGCTTTATGAAACACAGGGTCTTACTCTCTCAGTCACCCAGCCTGCAGCAGTGCCCACCCTGGTCTCCAGGCCCCACCCAGTGCCTGGCCAGCCCCATGGCCCAGGGAAGCCCTGGGAGGATCTGGGCAAGTGCCAGGGAGCGGGTGGATGCAGCTGGGCTTTCCACCGATTTGCTCCCTGCTCTCTCCAGGCAGTGCTGGAAAAATCCACCCCAAGGCGGGTTGCAGGGTTGACATGTGCTTCAGGCCGCATGTGGGGTTGGTCCCAGGGTCTTCATGCAGCCCCTGCTCCAGACTCCCTGTGCTGCATGCAGCACACTCCATGTGCTAGCCCTGGGACCACTGCTTCAATAAGACCTGGGGCCAGCACAGGGGGTGCACTGCCCACAGTGCACAGGCTGGATGCAGTGCTGCACGTAGCACAAGGGGTCTGGGGCATGGGCTTTATGTGCCACCCCATGCTGGCTCCCTGTGCTGTGTGCAGCATACATGGTACTGGATCCAGTCCATGTGCTGGGTGGGGTCTGATGCAAGAGGTTGGTCCGGTGACCAACTGCCTGTATCATACAGTTCCATGGGCCACATCTGGCCCATGGGCGGTGTAGTTGACATCACTGGTATACTCTGTAACTAAAACAGAACATGAGCTGAGTAAGGAGATGCCATCTACATGATCAGTTTCTTATTACAAGCACATTTTAATATCATCGTTAGAAGACTTCAAGTTCTTAGTGATAAAGTTCAGAATACTCTAATGAATCTGGAGAACTATTCAATAATGAAGAGTTAGTCAAATTAACCTTCCATGTTGACAACACCAGAGTTTCCAAACATCAATATCTGTACGTTAAGAACCTCCAAGCCTGGGAGGGTAAGGCAAGAATTGTGTCTGGAACGCTTTAACAGTGCTAGTAAATCACTTTCAGTTGTTTACAATGACATAGAACTGGGCAAAGTTTTTCATCAAAACCTTTCTTTTTGGAAAAAAAGGCAGATCTGTTGACATCAAAATCCATGTACATTTTGTTGGATAGTTCTCGCTGGAAAAAGAAAGAGCAAAACAATTCTGAAGAGGGTTTAGTAGTTGTATCCTAAGCGAAGCATTCTGATTATTTTATGAGTATTGGTTGTAGCCACGTTGGTCTAAGGACATAGGCAGACAAGGTTTTTTGAGTAAATCCACTATCTTTTACTAGACCAACTAAAATAGTTGGGAAAATTCTTCTTTGCAAGCTTTTGGGTACAAACACCCTTCTTCAGGTTGAGGAAGCATCTGCAATTGTTCTGTGCTCTTTCTGGATGCAAGAATGTCAGTTAGTGATTATTTTATCAAACTCAGTGGAGATTGCCCAGGTTTGAGTCAGGAGAAGGACATAAACCTGAAGTTAAGTCAACCAATTACAAACACCTGTTAGAAACATCTATACTTTGACCAAGGAAGTGAGAAATTATGACATCATGACTTCTAGCATTTTTCATATAGAAAAAAATGTTACCTTAGTTTTCATCCTAAATATAACTAGATTTTTTGATGGGAAGGGATTGTGCTGCTTTTATTTGTTTACATTTTTTTCATATGTTATTTTTCCTTACTTTAAACAAATTGTTTATAGCTTAGAATGAAAACTCCTGAAAACTTCAGAAACAGTTTTCTATATTGTAAAGACAGGGAGCATCAAAATATGTGATTAAAACATACAGAAGTATCTAAATGGAAAGTTGTGTTATAAAAAATCTCCCCATTTGAAAGTTTCTTTCAAAACAATCTCTTCCATTTTGAGGTTTGGGGAGGGAAGATTCTTCATTAGTTTTCAGTATTGACACAATGTGTGGATGTTTTGTAATCTATCTTATTTACTTATTTTAGCTCCTGAATGCTCTCCAGATGGACACCAGATCCTCCACAATCCCTATCGAAGCACTGATTTTGATTCACTGGAATTACAGCAAACAGCAATCCAAGATCTGGTTTGTGACCACTCATTGCCCCAAGGATGGTATCGTTTTATGATCAACAACAGACCTGCAGAAATGCCAACAAAATGTATAGAAGTTAGTAAAGATTAAGAACTAAAACTTCTGTACTGTAACAAACCCAAAATATGAATTCTCCTTTCACTTACTCCCATTCACCCACGGAAACTTCAATGGCAGATAACAAATTAAGTGGTTGGATGCAACTCTGAGGAGGATATTGCTCACGTGTTCTTTATTATTCACATCATTTGTAATATACATGTAGAAACACAAGGCAAGATATTTTTGTAATGAGAGGAAAGTATTAGTAGCACTGTACAAAGCACTGGTAAGAACACATTTCGAATATTTTGTACAGTTCTGGTCACATATGTTAAAATAACATTAAGTTAAACTGGAACAGGTTTACTTCAGGTTTACCAGGATGGTTTAACAGCATGATCACTGGGACTGAGAACTATAAGGAGCTTTGTGGCTGTGGTAAGACAGAGGGATTATTGATTGTTACGATCTTTTCAGCAAATTGCTGGTTGCAGACACAGGAGAAAAAGGAACCCAGAAAGCCCCTTCCAGTTTGTGTAAAACCAGTGCAAGGGACAGAAATTAAACCAAATGACAGAGATAAAATAAAAAAGCAAATGCCTGTAGTAGGAGGAAGTGGAGTAGAAGAAGTAGTAGTAGTAATAGTAGTAGTTGCAATAATAAAAATGATGATGATGATAATAATAATATGGATTACTGTACATGCAGACGCATAAATGTCCTAGTTGCCTCATAGCCAACCAAAGTAAATTTGTGTCCCAGAATGTTATTCTGTAGTAAAGAAGAAGGAAATAGTTACCTATTTTCTGTGTGATCTATATGTACAACAACACTGGTAAAACTGGTAATGCTCTTTATAGCCGAATTCATCCCACAGATAAATAGGTGCCGTATCATACTAAGTCCATGGCATGAAGTTAGATTACTTTCAGAAATGTTATCACACAAAATAGTTTATTTGGTAAATAGATTAATAATTTTTAAACATTTTAAAGATGTCAAATTCGATATACAATACCACCTATTTTAATATTTTTATTATATGCCAACCTAGCTAGAGAACATATATGCACTTAACAAACAGTGTTATATAAAAGTAAATTTGTGAACTGTGGTTAAACAGCATGAAGAAAACTTATTTGCTAACCTAACTTACAAAAGGTATGATATTTCCTCAAGTTATACATACTGTATGACTCTACTTAGCACTAATGCCACTCATTATTATTAATTTTCATTCATTTGCTGTCAGTCTAGCACAGAGGAAATGGTTCAAAAGTCTTATAAATCTATTTATTTAGCTTGCTCTGTACATGTGCATTCCTTCTATAAAATTAATTATTCTGTCATTACTCTTCAGCAATTTCCACTATTCAATAGTACTCATCTGTGTGATTCATCTTTCTGACATTACAATCTTTGTTTTTTTAAATCTCCTCTATGGAGCCCTCTATTTAAGTTTGCAGGCTTGTATTCATTAGTTTAGTTTCTTATCGTGTAACATAATTCTTACCATTGGTTCCTTCATTCTTCTCTGAATGGCAGCAAATCTCTGCTTCACTGTGCTGATGAAGGATTACACCTGTTATATGTCACCAGTGGAAGAATGTGCTACTTTTACATCTTCACCTTTTAAATCCTCCTTTTCATTCTCTTTGCCACTTAATTAAATCACTGTTTAATTTAGTTTTCCATTTAATTTGAGCAAAACCTCTGGAACAAAATAATTTGAATTAATAACAGCACAGTTTCCACTCTTTAATAAGCAGTTATTATTGGATATTTCAATCATTGGCTAGAGTGAGATGATTTTAATTAAAGAAGGCAAGGGCAAATTCTGATAGAAAGGAAAGGAGTCCAAATAAAACCCATGTTATAGCAAAAGATTGCTAAAGAGAACTGAAAAATGCTTTATTCGGCCATTATGAGCACAATCATGTACTTCGTAAGCTATGAGATGCACCATGGTGATATCAGATGGATACAATAAACTGCTTATCGATGGATTAGATTAACTTAATTCAAAGCAACTGTAGGCATGAATTTAGGGTTTACCTCATGCAGTTCAATTGAGATCAAATGGGATTTAAACTGCAACAAAAGGAAACAGATCCTTACTCAACCAAGCACTTAGGCATGTGGGATAATGGTATACCCTAGGAAATCTGGCCACCTCATTTAAGTGTGTAATCGGAGGCTGAATTCTTGAAAAACCAGCCACTTATTTCAGAGCTGTTGATTGTAAAGCTATTTAAAAAAAATCTTACTCTGAATTCTTTTATAGGCAGCTCTGTAAAGTAATATAGGTGTAGTCACCTCTGGATATGGTTCTATACTATGTGTAACATCTTAGTCAGGTGACGAGAAAAACAGATGACTCGGGCATCTTTAGGGGGAAGAGAAGCTCTCCAAGAGCAGGGGGGAAAGCTGCAGATTTCAACCTGTACACCAACTACTGCCATGTTTCACTGGCATCCTGAAACTCTAAAAAGTAACAGAACATCTTCAAAGACTGTCCCTCGCTTATGAATGAGACCAAGAAACACAGAAAAATTGAAAAAACAGAAAACAAAAATGAGAATTCCATCTTGCAGAGGGCTTAAAATGTGGAATAAATCTCTAGGTTCAGCAGCCCTTAAATCCAGATGCTTCCCACAAACTTATGCCTCCAGCAGCAAAATGTTTTTGAATGAGACAGCCTTCGAGTTTGGGTATTGCTACTTGAATTTCTCCAGGAAATTAAGTGTGACACTGACCTTCTTCCTTCTGTGTTTCCCTTTCCTTTCCCTCCGTGTTTTCACAGAAGGCATACTAGTTACAGACTCCCCTGTATGAACTCTAGGCATTAACCTGGTCACAATGCTGAGTTGCTTACCAATAGCAAACTAAAGCAAGAAGACAACAGAAATGTGCAAACATCTGTGTCCCACAGTGTCAAGTCTGCAGCAAATAGCTCAAGAGCTATAGTTAGTTCTTCAAGAACTGCCTAATTGACTTCCAAAGGAAAAACAGCAGAGGAAGAGAGTGCAGAGAGATATGCTACACCCCAAAACTAGTTCAGCAGTCTTACTAGAAAAAATTTAAAAATTCCATGAGCCCTTGTCACAGCTAATAATGACAAAAGGGTCCTCAGAGAAAAATTAAAATGGCATCATCATTAAACCAACAGGGGGAAAAATGGCGAGATCTAATACTGATTGACAAAGATGGAAAAGCAAAAATAAAGAAACAGGCTTCTTAATTAAATGACTAATATAAGCAGGCCACAAGAAAGGAAGAAATACAAAATCAAAGAGCACTGGCTGCTAACACTGTGGAAGATTCTCAGGAAGGACATAAGTTATGGGCAGTGTGAAAAAGAACCTGTGAATTGTAGAACATTTGGAGAATAATGTGTGATGAAAACCTGAGGAAAACAATATGAGATGAGAATCTTCTAGCAAAGGCTGCAATATAAACACAATGGGCACTGAAGCATATCATATGTAGAGCCAGAGCTTGCCAGAGTTATAGCTCCTGCTCCACCTCTCCTTGGCTAGGGACAGACATTCAAAAAGTCTGAGCCTGAATTGATTCAATCTTTGCAAGTTAGTCTAACGTGCAAGGCTTGAACCAATTTGTAGGTGGATAGACATTTTGTTTTATTCCAGAAATCCAAGCACATGCCTGCAGTGGCTCAGATTAAAAGCCGGAGGGCACTACAGCAGCCCTCCCTTCCCTTCCTCAGTACTGAGCTGGGGGAGGGGGGGCATAACCAGGCCCCAGCAGAAGGCTCTGAAGGCCCAGCAGGGGATTGACACCAGTGTTTATCACCCCTAACTCGGTGTTTATCACCCCAGCCAGCCCAGAGAGCATGCCAGGATGCTGGGGGTGTCTGGTTTAACTTAAACCAGCAAGGGGTCTGGGATAGACATTGCATAAACCAGTTTGACCCAAATCATTTAAGTTTGATACTGCATTCAACTAGGTTTATCTTATACCAATTTCAGCCATTTTCAAACTGGTCTATGTGCACTGAACATCTGTTCTGTTACAGGTTTAAACCAGTTTCTGATCACTTAAACTGGTTTATGCGTAATGTCTGTCCCCAGCCCTCATGTACATATGGAACCTTACAAAAAATCTGAATTAAAAACTTTAACAATGACTCATTCCTGAGTAAAGTCTCACAATAGTTGTTTCCTGCTTCACAAAATAATTCCTAAATGTTATACTCAGGCACTAGTCACTGGTGAATCAAATAAGACTAAATTGGGGTTGAGGAGTGTCAAACCAGGAAAGCTTTGAACTCAGATATGACAGCTTACCTCTCTAATACATATGTGAAATATATACTATATTTTTTAAGATTCATTTTAAGTCTCATGCTCTACTGATTAACCTCATAAAGCACAGTTTCAGCAAAACCAAAACAGACGAGCTGAGCTGCACTTTTAACATTTATTTTTGTTTTGTCTTGTTAATCTAAATCCTCCTTGAATTACAATTTTTATATAAACTTTAAAAATAAGAACTTCTTTGGAAGTATATCTAATTAATGTATTATTTCCTTTCTCTCTTTCTTACCCATATGAACACAGCATCATCATAATGGCAAGTGTGAAGCAGTGGTTCCCAGGTATATACACAAATCAGATTTTTAGCCTGTATGTATAAAGGAAACACTTAAAAGAAACATGACAGCCACAGGTTTAACTGCTAATACTGGTATCGTTTTGCATTAAACTAATTTCTGTAAAGTTTATACTGCAGACTGAAAAAGAAAATTGTATTCATTTTAAATTATTTAGGTGGGAACCAACTAAAACAAAGATGGGAGGTGGTTTGTGCATAGCAGAATGGTGGTTCCAAAGAGGATGGAGCTAGACTGTTCTCAGTGGTGGCAGGTGACAGAACAAGGAGCAACAGTCTCAAATTGCACCAAGGGAAGTTTAGGTTAGATATTAGAAAAGATGTTTTCACTAGATGGGTAGTAAAGCATTGGAACAGGTTATCCAGAGAAGTTGTGGAGTCTCTATCCTTGGAGGTTTTTA